CTTTGTTTATTCATTTATCTATTGTTGGACATTTTGGCTAGTTTCACTTTTGGCTATTGAGAATAGTGCTGCTATACACATGTATGTACATATATTTGTTTAAACACCTGTTTTCTTTTTTTTTAAAAATATGTCTATTTATTTTTAATATATCTTTATTGATTTCAGAGAGAGGAAGGGAGAGGGAGACAGAGATAGTAACATCAATGATGAGAGAGTCATTGATCGGCTGCCTCCTGCACATCCTCTACTGAGATCAAGCCCAAAACCCAGGCATGTGCCCTGACTGGCAATCAAATTACAATCGCCTGGATCATAGGCTGATGCTCAACCACTGAGCCATGCCCAGCTGGACTTAACAGCTGTTTTCATTTCTTTTGGGTTTATATATAAGAGCAGAACTGCTGAATCATATGGTAATTCTGTGTTTAACTTTTTGAGGAACTGCAAAACTCTTTTCCACAGCAGCTGAATCATTTTACATTTCAACCAGCAATGTATGAGGGCTCCAATTTCTCCACATCCTCACCAACACTTATTATTTTTAATGTTGTTTGATAACAGTCATTTTAGTGGGTGTGAAGTGCTACTTCAGTGTGGTTTTGATTGGCATTTCCCTAATAACTAATGCTGTCATGTTATATTATTTTTGTGGGTTTTTTTTTTCATGATTATTTTAAAGGGAGGAAGGGTGGTAAACACAGAAACATGCCATCTAAATCCCCTATTGATGAAGGCCTTCTTGCCCCAGTTGCTGAGAGGGCTCCTCTTTAAGGCTGTCTGCCCCTTCAGGGCTTGCCTCAGCTGCAGAGAGGCAACTTTCCCAAGATCAAATCCCTCCTAGTGTAGCCACATTTAATGATTTATTAAGGTGATATATAAATACCTCACCATCTCAGCCTAACTTGAGACAACTCTAAAGGGCTATTCTAGTTCTAGACTGCCTCATGGGGTTAGCCAAGTCCTGAACCAGTCTGTCCAGTCTTGCTCCCTTCTCATCCTTTCTGTGGATGTTTCTCCCAAAGGCACTCCCTAATAAACATCTTCCTGCACACGTGACCCTGTTTTAGTGTCAACCCAATTCATAAAAGACAATAAATGCATATGTTTGGTTCATTGATTTGAACTGGAAGTGGAACTAATCATTATTTCTTTAATTTTCCAGAAATGTATTTCATATTTGCTCTTTTATATTTTATAAAGCAAGATTGGGACAGTTTACTTTTTAAAAAATATTTTTTATTAAAATTTTTTTTTTTTTTTTAATATATCTTTATTGATTTCAGAGAGAGGAAAGGAGAGGGAGAGAGAGAGATAGAAACATCAATGATGAGAGAGTCAGGCTGCCTATCCCGCAACCCGGGCATGTGCCCTGACCAGGAATCGAACCCTAATTGCCTGGATCCTAGGTCGATGCTCAACTGCTGAGCCATGCCTGGCTGGGCTAAAAAATATTTTTTAATTGATTTCAGAGAGAGGAAGAGAGAGAGAGAAACATCGATGATGAGAGTCATTGATTGGCTTCCTCCTGCACGCCGCCTCCTGGTGATTGAGCCTGAGACTCTGGAATCGAACTGTGACCTCCTGAATCATAGGTCAAGGCTCAACCACTGAGCCACACCAGCTGGGCAGGACTATTTACTTTTGATGCCCCTCTTAAGTCTCATGTAGGCTCTGAGCTACAGAGCTGTGCCAATCTTAAGACATCAGAGGTCTGATTTTATGATGCTTTCAGCCAAATATTTTAGTTTTTAGTGAAATTAAGCTACTTCCTTAAAAACTGTTCAGTGAATTGAAAGTGCTGTGTGGATGCACCTGATATTTAGGAAGGGGTTTCACCTTCTGGTTGGTTGGGGTGTTTAAGTACTTTGAAAATGCTCACCTTTGAAATTTCAGTTGTAGGAGTTATTCAAATCTAGGGTGTCTATAGCAATCATGGCTGCTTTGTGTTCCTTAAATTGGATTATGTGTCCAAAAAAGTCAGTCTTCAGCTTTCACTTTCACCATCATATCCCTCTACTTCTGCATTTCACCCTTTAAGCCCCTCTGGATGCCCTGCAAGTTCAAGCTCAGCAGTGTCTGTGGCTTCTTGGGCTTTGCTGGAAACTTGAAGACATCCCCTTTTCCCTCAACCTTTTCTTTGATTGTGGCCATGGCTAGATTGCGGACAGAGTGGCCTTTTCTCTCCAGAACTGTGTAGCCATCACATACCCGGGGAGCTTGTCGAAATGGGCCTGGTTTCTGCAGAACACTTCAAATCTGCACTCATGGACTCTTGTGGTGTGGGTGCTTTCAGAACCATGAGAAGTCATGTCCACACCTGTTTGACTGCTGTTGGGTCACCCTAGGAAGGGATTTGACTTTAGGGTCAAATGTCTATTTATGTTATGAATTAGTAATATTGTTGTGTTCATTTTCTGTTGCTTGTAACAAGTTACTACAAATTTAGCAGCTTAAAACAATATGCATTTATTAGTTCAGAGTTTTGTGGGCCAAGAGTCCAGGCACAGCTTAGCTCTATCCTTTGCTCAGGGTCTCACAAGGCTGCAATTAAAGTGTTGGCTAGGCTGTATTCTTTTCTGGGGTTTGAAGTCCTCTGCGAAGCTCATGTGGTTGTTGGCTGAATACATTTCCTTGTGGTTCTAGGATCAAGTTCTTGGCTTCTTACTGACTCTTTGCTGGAGGCTGCCCTTAGGTCCTTAAGGCCACCCATAGTTCCCTGCCACGTGGCTCACTCTATGAGCTGTTACAATGGCTTTTCAAAGATCAGCAAGAGGATTCCTCTAGTGTTTGGTAGCAAGATAGACTCATATCTCTATCATAATGTAGTCACAGATGTGACATCCTGTCTCACCTTCACCATACTCTATTGATTAGAAGCACATATTCCACCCACACCCAAAGAGAGGGGATTATGCATGGATGTGACTCATTGGGGCCACCTTAGGGTGTGCTAACCACAGCTGCCAATGAATACTAGCTATTCACCTTTATTCAAATCTAAACTCTCCCAGAAAGATACAGATGAGATTGCATGTCTAGTCTCTCATCTCTCATACCTGTCATTAGAGGCCTGGCTGTTGTTCAGAACAGGCTTTCCAGCTGCCCCTTCTTGGTGGACTGCAAGACCTCAGCAACATGTCAGAGCTGCTTGAATCAGTGTTGGATGAGTTGAATTCGTATTCATATAAAGTGCTTCCTCTGGGGAAGTGCTTCCTTTTGACAAATCAAAAGTCCAACTGTGTTATGGTGATCAAGTTATACTTCTGCCCCTCCTTCCCACAGATTGTGCACTACTGGGGGAGGGTAGCAGGCAAGGACCAGTCTGCCTCCTTAATCCTCATGTAGTACTCCATCCCTGGACCTGGATAGGATTGTATTCAATGCATAAAATAAGACATTTTTAGAGGCAGGAAGAGTGAGTGACTTTTGCCTCATTCTCCACTTTGATCAACCCTGGGGTTTACTGAATTTTTTTTCTTAATGGCTTTTTGATAAGGACAAGTATATAATTATGTTCTTAGTTTACAAGCTCATAGGAGGCACCTATTGCTATGAGAAAATATTATAGATGCCAAGAAAAGAGGAAATAAGAGTAAGAACAATTTTGTAAACATCCATTGGAGTCTTTATTGACATTGGGTTCAGACTTTCCTGAGACATTAGACCGTAATTTTGGGAGGGAAAGGGCAAGACCCTGAGTAGCCCCCAATACAAGGGAAGTGTCAGGATGAGGAGGGACAGCTGTAGGGCCACTTGAAGCCTGCCATCTTGGGCCCTTGGCTGTCGCTGTCTCACCCTTAGCCTGGGGATAGCAGGCACAAGCTGGCCCTTCCCAGGGGGACACCAGCCAGGCTTCAGTGTGAACAGCTGCCCATGCTGGGGCCAGAAGAAACAGCAAAGCAGGTGCAGCAGGCTGCAGGTGATGACTATGCTCTGCTTACCACTTGAGGAGGAAGTACACCTCTCACTGAGAGCTACCCTGCTTTCCTACTTCCTGGCTGTGTGTCCTTGGTCAAGTGATTCAGCTTCTTTGAGTTTAATTTCTGGACTTGTAAAATGGGAATGATAGCAGTGCCTACTTCACAGCATTGCTGTGAGGACCAAATTAACATGTTGCCTGAGTCATAGGAAGCCCCCAATAACAACATTAATATTTATGCATTTCTTCATGCAAAAAAGATCTCCAATCTGCCAGGCATCATGTTAGGTTATTTCACTGGGGAGTTGTGGTGGGTTAGAGGGAGGATGGGGACTGTGGTGTTTCCCAACCTTCAGTCCCAGGCAGACAGTGAGTGATTCTTGTCAGGGAGTTATGACCTTCCCTCCTCCCATCTCCTGTTGCCAGCCAGTTACATCTGGCCTCTGTGGTCCACTAACACTGTCAAGAAACCTCTGCACAATGGCTGCTCACCTTTCTTGCAGACATCAACATAGCTTGTACCCTCACGTCCTTGGAGCTTTTTTTCAAATGTCACTTTACCGACCACTCCTACAGAAAATAACAAGCAACTCCTCCCCTCCAGAGCATACATGCCCACTGCCACTCTGTTTATTTGGTTATTTATTGTCTGCAAGCTCCATAAGGGCAGGGACTTAAAACTCCCAAGCTGCCAATAGTGTTTGGTATACATATCTGCGGTACTTAGTATTTGTTGACCAAATGCATAGGAAAGGGGTTCAGGAATGCTGGTTCTCAAAGGGCCTCTCTGAAGAAGAATGGCATTTGGGGTGGTCTGCAAGGAAAAGTGGCTTTTATAGAAGAAGAAAGGGAAAGGCCTCCAGGTGAAAAGCACAGTAGGAGCAAGGGCAAAGAGGAAGGAAACTGCTTGTTAAAGATACTGGTTGAATCTCAAATCTTTGGAAACACCTGGAAAGACTTCCTGCTGCAGCTCTCCGAAGATCACACGCTAGGGCCTCGCCTGCTACCAGGCCCCGCCCCCAAAGGGCAAGGCGGAGACCGGGCGCGCAGGCGCACTCGCGGTCTTGCAGGGCCCAGGCCGGTGGACCCAGAAGCCCTGTCCCTCAGTCCGCGCAGGCGGCCGCGGTGGCTGTGGCCGCGCCCTATCGCCGCGGCTGGTCACCGTCGCCCTGGAGCAGTCGCACGGAGGCAGCAATGCCGCAGCCGGACCGGGGCCTGCTCTGGCTTGGCCTGGTCCTGGGCTGCTCCTGCGTCCCTCTAGTATCCGCGGCGCTGGGAAACAATGCCGGAGGTGATGCCTGTGCCCCTTCCCAGATCCCCTCCATTCTTCGCTCCCCACATTCATGCTTTACTCTTTCGCTCCGCCCCTCGTAGTTTTCCTTCTTCCTTCCTTCCATCCATCTTTTCACGCTGACATCCCCCCCTTTCTTCCTTCCCTCCCACCCACCATCTTCCCTCTGTCCGTACTTCCTTCCCTCCCCCAATTCTTCTTTCCTTTCCTCTAACCTTCCTTCCTTCCCTCTCCCTCCGTTGGTCTCTTCCTCTTTCCCTCCCTCATCCAGGCTTGAGGCCGTGGCCAAAGCTTAACTCTGCTACCCAGGACTAAGGTTTCCTCTGTGCACCTACTCCCACCATCTCTGGCTCCGTTAGCTGGTTTGTCAAGGTGCGGGGTGCAGCCTTGGGCCTTTCAGTACCCTAGCACCTACCATGAGTGGGGGTTCACTGTCAGTGCAGGTCATCTCACTGAAGCCCCACTCTCCCATGCAGATGCTCTAAATGTCCTTCTAATCATTGTGGATGACCTGCGCCTCTCCTTGGGTTGTTATGGGGACAAGCTCATAAGATCCCCAAATATTGACCAACTGGCATCCCACAGTCTTCTCTTCCAGAATGCCTTTGCCCAGGTATGTCTGGGGTCCTCTAGGTATGTATTTGTGCCTTGTGCCCTGAGGATTGGGGAGGGAGGGGTCGCTTCAGCAGTTGTTAGATGGCAGTGATTGTATCAGGCATCTCTTTATTACAGGGAAGCATCATCTGGAAAATGGCGGTTGTGATAACCTGGTTGTCCACTGACAAGATTGTGCTTTCAAGGGTTCCCCTCCTCCTTGGGTACAGGGTGTGCCCTAGCCCTAACATGCTCAGGATGGTCCTGACCAGCTTTCTTCCCCAAAGAAGGGGTTGACTAGTGCTGAGAAGGAAGGGGTGCTATAGAATGCCACCCTCAGACCTGCTAGCTAACCTCGAGTGAGTGCCAGTCTGCTTGCCATGGTGGCACTCCTCCTTGATCCCACTAATGGGGGCACCCCCAGGACCCTTGCCAGTGCTGTGCACCTGTGAGACACTATTGTGTAGAAGCAGGACACAATTATCTGCTGGTTTGAGGGACTGAGTCCTTCCCTTCCTCTTTCCTGGGAGACATTTCCGGTGACTGGGTAAGACCAAAATCCCACTGGTTGGCTTTAAGATTTGCATGACTCAGCTGCTAAGCTGTTTGCTGAGGACTTGGGGAGGGAGGGTTGCCTGGTTACAGTTTAGCTCCCAGATTGTTTTTCTCTGATGGCGTTTTCCTATCCTTCTGCTCCCTAACAGCAAGCAGTGTGCGCCCCGAGCCGTGTTTCCTTCCTAACTGGGAGGAGACCTGACACCACCCGCCTGTATGACTTCAACTCCTACTGGAGAGTACAGGCTGGAAACTTCTCCACCATCCCCCAGTACTTCAAGGAGAATGGCTACGTGACCATGTCGGTTGGAAAAGTCTTTCACCCTGGTACTGCTTGCTGTCCAAATTCTGGGTTATTTTTTGTTTCATGCCCAAGCACACAAATTCTGTCCTGGGGTTGGGGCTGTCTTTTCAGAGACCTCTTGGGGCTGGGTGGGCACCTGGCTTTATGTTCTTACCCAAAGTAAAAAAGGGTAGAGGAGTTTTTCTTCCTTTCAGAAATTAGTCATAGTGCTGTTTGGTTCCTTTGGCTCATGGGGTGGAAGGACGTGCACTGGATGGGAAGGTGACAGTGTTGGGTGAGATTCTAGCTCTGTGCCTGACCCTCTGTACTCCAGGGTCCGTGTCAGTAAGTTAGGGATTAAAGCTTAGAATATTTGAGGATGCCCCATGTGGCCAAAGCTGTTATTGCTGTCTTGCCCAAGGAAGGGGCTGCTGCTTAAGGTCTGTGAATTAGGTCAGCAAAAGCAGTGTAAGCTGGTACCCAGGACCTATGGGGTGCCAGGGGCTGCCAGTCCTGACCTTCAACACTGCCTGATAAGCTCTCTTTAATGTCAAAATGAGAACTCTGAAGCACAGACAAACTTTAAGACTTTTTATAACTTACAGAAGAATTGCATGATTATTTGACAAGAAGTTGGGAAAAAAAGGAAAGTATAAACTAAATATAAATCACTTGTAATCACAGCACCCTCTGGGGGAGCTGTATTTTGATGTCCACCCTGTTCTGGGCACATTATTTTTCTGATTGGAGATTATTCTGTACATGTAATTTTATATCGTGATTTTTTAACATAAAATTTTCCCATATAGTTACTCTTCATGCAAAGTTTTTTTAATGACAGCCCAGTAGTCTAACATACAGATCTACTATACTTTAGTCTAAGTTGTTTTCAGATCTTTCGTGTCACACATACAGCTGAGACGAACATTTCTGGAGGCAGAGTGAACTGCTGCTGATGGGTAGTGCCACTAAGAATCTGGGCCCCTGGGTTTCAGTCCCAGCTCTGCCACTTCTTAGCTGTGCAGTTGACCGTGAGCAAACCATTTACCCTCTGAGCCTCAGATTCCTTCTCTGGGAAGCTGCAGTCATAACTACCTTAATTACTTCTCAAGGGAGCATTCCAGGGCAGGTAGTTCAGGAGTGTGAGTGAAAGTGCATTGAAAACCCAAGTCCTATATGGAACACAGTGCTTATCATTAGGGACTACTACTTGAATGTTTTCAGTAGCTTTTGTTCACTGCTTATATTGGCAGGATAGGCAGCCTGTTTCTAGAACCCACCTGGCCAGTCCAGGTTGAGGGTAATTTACAGTGGGGCTAAGTCGGGCGCAGTTTTGAAGGTGAATCTGTCAGGAATCATGTTGTGCAACAAAAAGCCCACCATCAGGAGAACTTTCTGCAGTCAGTACTCATATTATGATACCCCTTGTGTGAGTACAGCTGGAGGGAAGGGGCAGTTTTGGGGAGAGGAGTGAATACAGTGGAGGGGAGATATGGCCTGAGTGGTGTCTTTTGGCCTCTTTCCTCCTGATGGTTAGATTTTGGGATCAGGCTCTAAGCACCATGTTTAGCCAGAGAACAAAAGCTTTGCCTGCAGTCCTTGTGGAAACACATTTTTCAATTGGGTCTTTGTTCTCAAGACCTTGTTCTGTCAGGGAAGAACCTGTCGAGGATGAGAGCAGCCACCTTTGATTCAGGCTAGCTATGTGTCAGTTACTGCTCTGGCTGCTCCATTAATCCTCTCCTCAGCAGCAAACAAGGTGGGTTTTTATCATAGTCATCATTTCCTGAGGAGGAAATTGAGGCTTATGGAGTTCAAGTAGCTTGCCCAAGGTTGCACAAGTGCTAAGAAGCGCCAGGATTTGAATCCAGGCCTGTCAGTGACCTCTGCTCTATCCACTGTGCATATTGTGTTGATGAGCCCTCCACCCACTGCCCCCCAGTGTGTCACTGTCCTGGTAATGTTCTTTCTCCCATGGTTCTGACTGTACTACCCTCTCTGCTCCTCCTGGCTAATCCCCATTGGTAGCACTTCCCCTCAGACCCCTTGCAAGCCTCATTGACTCCTAGATGCTCGCTGCCAACTATCACCAGACCTGCATCACCTCTGGGCCTGGGGCTTCCCCCACCTAACACTGCAGTTCTACTCTAGATAGCTGGCAGTGATTCCTTGGTTTCACATGTTGTTGTTTTGTCTTCCCAAATAGGCTGTTAACTACTGAGTTTAGGAGTGGGTTTATGCTTCATAAATGAGCACTGAACCTGGAGTTCTAAGACATGGATTGGAGTCCTGACTCATTCATGTAATATCTGGTTGGCATTAGACAGGGCACCAAACTTCTCTGAGCCTCCTCTTCCTTACCTGGCCCATGATGGTACAGGTGCCTGTGTCACCTCCTTTATAGGGTAGATGAGAAGCTCCAGTGAGGACTCTGCAGGGCTGTGTTGCTGTGACAGACTGGCTTATCTCACCCTTTTAGGTTTCTTACTCAGAGCCTAGCATGAATCGCGAGGGCTTTAGAGACTGGGAGGTCAAATGCTTAGTACTCAAATAGAAACCTAGAGAGAGTTGGCTTTAGTGGGGACTTCTCATCATGTGGCTTAAGCTCTTGATTTTATAGATAAAAAAACTGAGACCCAAAGAGGGAAGATGATACTTCCCCAAATGTTAACAAAGTTTTAACTTAGGGTGGGGAGGGCATTGAAAGACCCTTCATGTTTTATTTAATGACTTTCTTTTTATTCCCTCTCAAGGAATATCTTCTAATCATAGTGATGATTCTCCATATAGCTGGTCAGTTCGACCTTATCATCCTTCCTCTGAAAAGTATGAAAATACTAAGGTAAGAATGTGAATGGGGTACGGTTATGAAGAGGAATCACTTTTACCCTGTATAGGAATTTAAGGTTAACTATTGTGTATACTATAACTTCTTTCAAGGTGGTTATCCATTGAGATTTGTGGGTTTTGTTTGTGATTATGACTTGACAGAGACAAGTGTTGAGATCTTTGGCATTAGGTCCAATGGGAGAGGTGGTTTTATTTTAGAAGCCAGTAGGCATGCCTTGTTCTAGAACCTTATGTTCTAGTGTGTAAGACTCATTTAATGGCTCCTTGGTGCTTATTCTGGATAAGACTGTGCTGAGTGTTATAGGAAATGCCAAGACATGGAAGGGAGAAGAGAGACCTGTGCTCCAGGAACTTCAGCCCAGATTGAAAGAAAGGCACACTGTATGTCTATCTGTTTGTCTGTCTTAGGCCTAATGGATATGTTCAGGTGCTGAGATCTTTGATAGGAGTCTTACAATTTTAGAGCATTATATAAAAGGAATATACAAAGAAACTTAATCTTGGTTCAGATGAATCCCCAATGTATAAGTGAAACTAAAACCCATATTTGAGAAATTCAGAAAACCAGCTTCAGGACTGAGAAATGACATGCTCCTTGGAGGCTTTTAGAGACCTCATGTGGAGAAGGGTATGGATTTTTGTGGTTGCTGTGGTGGAGAAGAGTATTTTAAATTCTTGACAACTTTTCATTTTATAATACAGTGAGAGCTATGGGCCCTGGCCTTTGGCTTGTGGCTTGAATATTAACAGAATGAGATTAGAAGACCCCATCTCAAACCCTCCATTCCTTGAGTACATCTTCCTACTTTTTAGTGACCTCTCAAATGCTAGGCCCATGCCCCCTACTCTACGCATTTGTTCTCAAAGTGGTGGGTCTGACTGTGCCAAATGCACTGTGAGTGCTGGAGATCATGAAAAGCGGAGCAGGTGCTGGGAGTCAGGTGCCGGGCTCTCCAGCTTGGGGGTAGCAGCTACCACTGCCCCTGGGTCTTTGTGTAGTGGAAGTCGTGGTCAACACTGACTTTGGCCTTTGGCCAGTGTGGCCACTTTGGGAAAATGAAGCAGTGAATTACATTCTATGCATGCTGTGGTTGAGGATCTGGGAATTCCATGGACTTTCACCTTATCTAGTTGACTGAGACCCTGTCACTTACAAGCCTTAATCTGTCTTTAAAATTGAAGACAGAATGCTTTTTTAATTTTTTGAGATATAATTCATATACCGTAAAAATTGCCCTCTAAAGTGTAAATTCAGTGATTTTTAGTATAATCAGAGTTGTACAACTATTACCAAAATCAATTTAAGACCATTTTCATTACCTCAAAAAGTAGCGTTGTACCCATTATCATTCACTCCCCATTTCCTCTCATCCCCTGCCTGTGGCAAAAACGGATTTGCCTCTTTTGGACATTTTGTTTAAATGGGATCATACAGTATTTGGCCTTTTGTGTCTGGTTACTTTTACTTAGCATAATGTTTTTGAGGTTCATCCATGTTGTAGCATGGATCCTAACTTCATTACTTTTTATAGCCAAAGAGTATTCCATTGTATGGTTGAACACGTTTTATTTATCCATTCATCAGTTAATGGACATTTATGTTGTCCACTTTTTGGCAACTATGAATGAAGCTGCTATAAACATTGAAGCTGCACAGGTTTTTTGTATGGACTTAAGCTTTCACTTCTCTTTGGTAGAATTGCTAGATCAAGTGTTTGTGTGGACTTAGGTTTTTATTTTTTGCTATACACCTAGGAGTGGAATTGTTGGGTCATATAGTAAGTCTATGTTTAACTTTTTGAAGACTTGCCAGAGTGTTTTTCAAAACAGCTGCATCATGTTACATTCTCACCAACAATGTATGAGGATTCCAATTTATATACATCCTTGCCAATATCTGTTTCTTTCCATTTTTAAAAATTATAGCCACCCTAGTGGTTTTGATTTGCATTTCTATGATGACTAAAGATGTTAAGCATCTTTATGTGTGCTTATTGGCCATTTGAATATTTCCTTTGGAGAAATGTCTATTCAAGTCCTTTGCCCCTTTTTTAATCGGCCTTTATTTTTATTGTTGAGTTGGAGACAGATTTTTTTGATCATTACTTTACTTGGGTTTCCTTTAATTATGAGCTAAAGACAGAGGATTAACAGCAGGGAGGTAAGTGCTGGTTGATACCTGGCCCCTCCTTGGAAAAGAAGAAACATTTCTCTGTTTAAGTTTTACTTCCTATGTCCGTCCTGAATGACTAATACTTAATAGGCTGCTGATATGAATGTTAAATACATTGTGTGTATAACACCCATGACTTCTATTTCTTGCACTTAAAAAGCTGACTTTATATATTTTGTTTTAAAAGACATGTAGAGGTCCAGACGGAGAACTCCATGCCAACCTGATTTGCCCTGTGGATGTGGCAGATATACCAGAGGGTACCTTGCCTGACAAACAGAGCACCAAGCAAGCCATACGATTGTTGGGAAAAATGAAAACATCTGCCAGTCCTTTCTTCCTGGCCATTGGGTATCACAAGCCACACATCCCCTTCAGATATCCCAAGGTGAAGAGCTGGCTGAGACAGCCATGACAGCTGTGTCATTTGTTAAAGAAGGGATTTATGTAGTGAAGGTGGCCACATCCTGCTGTTCCTGGTCACCAGGGATGCCTGATGGCACTAGTGTACTCAACAGTGTGAAGATGGGATTCAGAGGTCAAGGCTAAGTAGCAGACTTAGTATATATAAAAATCTTGTTGGAAATGCTTGGCTTTCTACTTTCTTCCACTGGAGAGTTTTCAGTTTTTTGCTATCATGTTTTCCCCGGGCCTGAGCAGCCCATTATTTTTACTTAGAAGAGAATGCCCCTTACTTGTAATGAGAGTTGAGACCAGAAGGCATGTTCTTTGATGCTGCTGATCTTGCTTTGATTGGCCCAAGGTATCTCACCTTCCTAGCAGGAGCTGTGAGCTCCCTTGATGGAGTGAGTCTCACTTCTTTTGCTTCTTGTGCAGAAAAAAGTTAACCTAGCAGGCCTGACTATTATCCTTTCGAAGTCCTGCTTATGAGCTTGGACCTGGCTGGTAACCTGAATCTCTGAATTGTTCCTACCATTCCCAGAACTGATGAGTGGCTCACTATACCTAAACTGTTTATGCAAACCCCTGTCTTCCTGCTTGGAGTCTGGAAGTTTGGTATATGTAGGCAGAGGGTGCCAGGTGACCAGCCCTAGTAAAAACCCTGGATGCTAAGGCTTTAATGAGCTCCCCTGGTGGCAGAATTTCATACATGTTATCACACAACTTGTTGCTGGGGGAATTAAGGACATCCTGTGTGACTTCACCAGAAGAGGACTCTAGAAGCTTGTGCCTGGTTTTCGTCAGACCTTATCCATGTGACTTTTTACTTTGCTGAATGTGTACTGAGTTCTGGTGAATTACCAAACCTGAGAGTGATTTGGGGAACTGACAACACCTCTCCATACCTTTTCTAGTTGAATGGGAGGTGTGGATAGGAACAGGGGGGCATGTGTATGAGGGAAGAGAGGTGTTGCTACTCTGTAGAAAACAAGTCGTGGTATTTCATTACCATTGGCATCTTGTGGGAGTGACTTAGGGTCAGACTTTCAGGTGTGGGGAAATACCACATCACAGGCTTAGAGAAAAGGCAATATAAATACTGATAGAGTCTCAGCCTCATGCCTTTGCCAAAAGAGTGACAACCTGATGGCTTTGTGTGCTTTCCCTCAAGGAGTTTCAGAAGTTGTATCCCTTGGAGAACATCACCCTGGCTCCTGATCCCCAGGTCCCTGCTGGCCTCCCTCCTGTGGCCTATAACCCCTGGATGGACATCAGGCAGCGGGAGGACGTCCAAGCTTTAAACCTCAGTGTGCCCTATGGCTCAATTCCTGTGGACTTTCAGGTACCAAGAACATATTTTGGGGAAGTTTTGGACACTTATGGTATGACGTCACTTTTCTCAGTAGATACTACATACTAAGAACCCTCCGTGTGCAAAGCATCTTGCAAAGTACTGGGGTTGGGGCTGGTCTGGAAGCATTTAGGAAGTGTTGGATGGATACAGTATCTCCCAGTCATTGTCTCCACTTCCAAAGAAAGAGGCATTTGGAGATTTGGTCACTCAGTGGATGTGGGCACAGGGGTGAGGAGGAGGCCTAGATGATCATCTGTAACTCATGGGGCATGCTATTTAATCTAGGTGACAGTTCATCAGTTATAGGGTGGTAGGGAACTCCTATGCAGCCCAGAACACTCAGTTTGCTTCTACTTGTGGTTCCCCTCTGAGGGAAATGCAGCATGGGCACACATCACTCTCAGGGGGTACCTTGGTGAGCAGGGTCTTGGAGCAGAGGGAGCTGGGGCACCAACCTGGCCAGTGCCATCCAGCTCCAATGAATTGGGGTGGAGAAGAAATAGAGTTAGAATCCTCACACTGACTCATCAGCTACCCTCTCCCTGGAGTACAGAAGACATGCTGACCAATGCTATTTCTGGAATATTCCACATTCAGCTCTGCCCTTCTTTTACCATATGAATACTCCAACAGGCAGTCTACAGTGGAGGGAAGAGGGCCATGCTTTCAAAATGTGCTTCCTGGACCACCTGAATCAGAATTGCCATGAGGGCTTGTTAGAAGCACAGAGTCCTGGCCCCACTCATACTCAGGGAACTAGAAGCAGGAGGTGGGGCCCGAGAACCTGCATTTCCAAAAAAAATCACACAGTTGACTCTGATGCACACAGAACTTTGAGAACCACTGCTATAGGGTATAGTTCACAATAAAACATAATATACAGGTATCTCTTGCTATCCACATATATTTTATTTCTGAGTTTGGACACCAAGAATGTGGGTAGTTGTGGGATGTGTGTTCCTCACATCTATTTCATTCCTGAGTTTCAGATGGCAGTAGTGAGAGTTTGGAAAGCAGTGGATTCATCCGTTCCTTTGGTTCCTAGTTTGCATTCCAATAGTGAGGTTGCTCGAATTGCAGCTCCAAGGCTACACTTGGACACCTTGTTAGTAATGGTCACTTAAAATGACCCTTTATTTCTTATTTTTATATGTTTTTATTGATTTTTAGAGAGAGAGGAAGGGAAAGGGAGAGAGATAGAAACATCAATGATGAGAGTCATTGATTGACTGCCTCCTGCAAGTCCCCTACTGGGGATCGAGCCCCAAACACCAGGCATGTGCCCTGACCGGGGGAATCGAACCACGACTGCTTGGTTCCTGGGTCAATGCTCAAGCACTGAGCCACACCTGGCTGAGCTAAAATGACCTTTTAAATGGGCTATGTGCCAAGAAGGGTGCTCAGCATTATGTGTGTTTTCTCTTTCGGTCTCCATGGGAACCTCATGAGGTACCTGCCATCTTTGTTGTCCAGATGAGGAAATTCAAGGCAGAGAAGTATGGTGACTTGTCCCAGATCACAGTTAGTGATAGGGGAGTGTGTAATGTCAAAGCTTCATGGTTTTATTTTGATGGTTCCAAACGGTCCTGGTTCAAATTCCTGTTCTACCCCATACCAGATGCATGACTTCTCTCAAGTCATTGTATCTCTCGGAGCCTTAGATTCCTTATCTGTAAAATAGAAACCAAATGAAGGAAGGTTTTCTGTGAGAACACCTATTTTAGAGATATTCAGTGGAGACCACGGTGAGCATGTGAAAGAATTAAGGACAGTGTCAGCTGCCTGGTGAGGGCTCCTTCAAAGTTCTCTTGTCCCCCATCCATTGGTGGTGTAACTGCCCAGTTGGACACAGAGTTGAAAGTGACCCAGAGGACCTTCCTGGAATGCTCATGTACTGGTCCCTGTCCCACATTTACCTGGAACTGGAGCCCTGCTCACTGTCCTCTTGCAGATTTGGTGGTCTATGCCCAGAGCCCCATCTCATTCCATTCTTGAGCCTCAGTTCTGTGCCTTCTTTAGCCCCTAGCCTTCTAACTGAGCTCCTTGTGAGCCAGCCACCTCAGGGTCATACTTGGAAGTTTGTCATCTCCAAGGGCTGCTTCCTTGATAAACACTCTGACCACAATCTTTTTTTTTCTTTTTCTTTTTCTGTTTTTTGCAGCTCCCTTATTCCATGCCCTCATTCCACACATACCTCCCTCTTCTCCCCCAATGATTAGGACCTTTCTGGGCTTCACACCCTCCCAGAATAGCTGATGCCCCATGGCAGGTCACGTATTGGTCTTGCTGGCACCTCAGCCCTTGTCCATTGATCCTTGCCACACCTGCAGTACCCTGATCACAGCCACTACCTCTGCTCTCAAGACTGAATCCTGAGGGAATCCATGTAGCCATGAGGAATAGAAACACATGCCAAGCCTCTAGCCCCAGCAGTCCTGTGAGCTGCAAGCTCTCTGCTCAGGTCCCTTCAACCCCTTAGGACCCTCTGCCCCACACACCCCTCTACCTGGTCTCAGTGATGACTGCACTTCCTGTTTCAGAAATGGAGGCTGGTGGACAGTCTGAGGGAGGGGAATGCAAAAGATGGATGTGAGTACACATCCTGGCTGTACTCCTTGCCAGCTGTGTGTCTGTAGGCAAGTTAATCAACCTCTCTGAGCCTCAGAGTCCTCCTGTGTAAGATCGAAATGGTAATGCTTACCTTTAAAGGTGGTTTGGAGGATGAGATGGTACCCAGCAGGTATGCGGTAAATGGTACTATTAATAATCTCCCTCACCAGTAGCCAGAATTGTTCTTACATGTGTGCTGGGATAGCAGCCTTCTCTCTAGTCTTGCAAAAAAAGCAGCAGGGACTT